TAGTACAAATTTTAGGTACTTCCCAGAAAGATGTATAACATTGTAGTGTATGATGCTTGGAACTTTGTTTTTATCCTCAAAGAGGAATGTTTTACCCATATGCGTCTAATCGAGTCAAATCGCTAAGATGCGCATAAATCACAATAACACTAAATTTTGTTAAGTCACACTGAAATAAAATAAGTCGTCATTATCTGTATAAATTAGATGCAGTAAAATCCTTTCCCAGTTTTTTTTTTTTTTTTTTTTTTTTGGTACATTTAACGAAAATTATTTCGCTTTTGGAAGTATGCCTAACTTCAAATTAGTTTCCTAACTTCAAATTTTAAACTGAAATCCGAAACCTTTACAATTAGTTATCAAGTAATAATTTCTTAATTATGATTCGTTCATAATTTCTCCAATAGATGGCGCCATGACCTTTGGTGCTTTTCCTTTGCCTGGCATTTTTTTGTGTTATCATTTTTAATCCTACAGCTGAAAATTTTTTTTATTTAACCATTAAAATTAGACTCTTGCGAATTTCATTCACGCGATTTTTGTCGCTCATTATTTGTATTTTTAGCATTTAATCTATTCTTTTTGCTGTATGTGTCGAGATAGATTGGTAGATAGATCGACAGATAGAGATAGAAATATTTTAGAAATAAATATATTTTTAGAAAGCATTTGTAAAATGTGAAGTGATTCCTACCAGGATCATCGATCAGAAACTGCAAGTGACTGTAATTGTCCGCATGCACATTTGATATCAGCATCCGCGAATGCACACAAAAGAAGTATTACTTATTCTGTGAAAAAAATCTTTATTGACCAATCAAATGAACCAAATTTTCCCTAACTGATCGTTAAATGGGTTAATTTTGCATGGGTTAACTGATTAAGGCGGAGCAACGAGGACAATCTGAATGAAGGAAGGATTGCCTTCGTGGAGGTCATTTTAAAGGAACGTGCTGGGAATCACATTATATATAGGAAATAATATATGCCTTCCGCCAGAATATGACAACGTGGCCGACCTACCATTATTTAGCGATTACACTGCTCGGCCGCTTGTGAGTGCCAATACTTTTACCACAGGATGCAATTTCTGTAAATCGACCTATAGTAAGAATTTGTCACATGCGCCTTTTTTGTAAAAAATTCAAAAATCTTTGCACTTGTAATCATATCATCAATGTTATGCTGATGCAGGAACATGAAAACTGTGCAGTGCCCTCACCTTGATTCGAACTCCGGACCTCCCGAATACGTATTGAATATACTTCCAATTACACCACGAAGGCATGCGGAAAGAAGGGATAAAATAATTTACATACTCCTCATTTCAAAGGGATACTGGGAATTACGGTACCCTATCGCCAATCCTAGTGATAACGAATTATTGTTTACCACCTTTTAGTTCGGGCCCCAAGTGGTAGAAACATTAGGTTCTATCGATGCAGGAAAGTGAAAAACGTGTAGTGCCCTCACCGGGATTCGAACTTCGGACCTCCCGAATACTCGTCGAATGGGCTTCCAGTTCCACCACATGCGGAAAGGAGGAAGAAAATACCTTATAAACATTAAAACGCTGAATTCTTTTGGCGAGCATTTCTACAACACGTTCTTTAATGCGATTTCTTTTGTTAAACATTATATAGATGAGCTAATTTAATTGCTTCGTCGTATACTAGATATTTAAGAAACATACTTATGACAGTAGCCACTGACATCTTGTCGGTAATTAAGACTGCAGTTGTTCACAAACAAGTATTCCATGGCTTGTATATATGGAAATGTGTAATACAACGCTAAGTTGCATTGGAGTTTTATATATACTTGTGACAGAATTCGACGTCTAAAAAATCTGATGTGGACACCACATGATTTAATTGTACGGCCTATTAAATTATACGCATTTATTCCTTCCTGCACTTCATTTAAACTTATTTCCTTGAATTGTTCTAATTTAATTAGCCAATGACAAGGCAAGTTTAAAATTACATCAAAAATTGCAAATTTTAAAGTTAAATATCCCGATCAATTTTTGTCGTAAGGGAGTCAAACTTCTCATAATTTTATTCTTTCATAACGAGTATAAAATTTTCCCAAATACATGTATAGGAAGCGGGAGATCGTATTAAATGTTAGATTTCTTTATTTGCCGAAAATTTAGTTATATATTGATTTTTTTTTTTAAAGAATTGACTAGAAATGTATGACTACGACCAACAACAGCGAAAATAAAGACCTCGTAAGAACTTTAAAGCCGGGTAAGGGGAAAGATCATAAAAGTGGGTAAGGGTGTAAAGCCCGAGTGTCACGGATTATAGTTGCCTGAAGGTTTCTTGAGAGAGTACCGTATACCAGAAGACGCGCTGTTGGCTTCCCGCTCATTGTAGCACACAAAAGAGCGCGTTTAGCATGCTGTAGACAACATGTGCCTTGGACCAGGCTATTTATTGCAGCATCGCGCTTTTTATAGATGAGTCGAGATTCAGCCTGGACGCTGATTCTCGAGGTACTCAGAGAGTGAAGTGACTCCCTTTATTAGATACGCTACCAAGAACATCCATCTCCGAAAAAAAAATCATAATTATAAGGAGCTTCCTGTCCACAAGAGGCACTGAGCTATGCAGCACAACCTAGAATAATATAACAAAGCTATTACTTAAAACGTAGTATGCAAGCAGACCTGGAGCTGCCCTCCATAGCATGTACGTGCGAAAGACACCAATGTATATTTTAGAGAAAAAGAAAGGCATTGCCCGCGGTCTGGTAAAATACAAAGTATTGCAAGCAACGCCTGGCAGGATCCCCTGTAAGTCCTGTGGTGTGTAATTTATTTGGATTTTTAGTGTGGCTGGACAATACTCACATTACCAATGGTTAAACAATGGGTGTCCACATTTCTCCATATCCATATCTGGAGAGAGCTTGGGATACGATACCATCTCTCCCTCAGAAGGGATAAAGATCATTACACTGTGGTGGACTCGTAATGGTTTGGGAAGGCGTTATGTTGGACGGCCACACGGCCCTGCATGTGCTTAACTAAGGTACAGAGACAAGACCAGACCTATGTTAAGACCTATGTTCGACTTTTCAGAGGGTTCAGCTGGTCGACGATTACCTGGAAAGTGAAAACATTCGCCGCATGGATTGCCCAGCCAGATATACTGACCTGAATCCTATAAGTACAGCATGTCTGAGACGCTCTTGGAAGGGCAATTTCATCTCGCCATCTCCTTCTGAGACCCATGCCGGGGTTAAAGAATGTCTTGCTGCGGGAGTGGGATCGATTGCCACAGGGTCTCGTAAACTGCCTTCAGACCAGTATGCCCGTCTTGCTGTGCGACCTTTCTTGCTCTGAGAGGGGGTCATAACCCATATTAGACTCATTTTCAAACCGTTATCACAACTTGGATTTCGGGCATCCCTGCACTGTGGGATTTACTTATTATCATGCATATTTAAATTTTTTTTGAACATTATATCTCTTTCTCTTTCATAAATATATACTCACATCAAATTTCATTAAAATCTGCCCCTTAGGTTTTCAGAAATTTGACATAATATACAAATTTTCTTAATTTTGCACAAGAGTGTATGTATGTTCCTCGCATTGTGAAAAAATGACGGTACCTAGGGCCATCAAATTTTGGATAACGTAGTCCTCCACCCGAGCATGTACACCGGGAAGATCAAATTTAAATTTAGAATTTGTTTCATTATTTATTTCATATTTTGTAACATTTAACGATTTTTTGATTAACAACTCAATGATTTGAAAGCAAGCATTGGCAACACTGTTCGAAGTGAAGCATTTTTATCTCCAAAGCGCGAGACTCTTGCCATTCGGGAAAAAATGTAACATACAGCTTTCAGTTTTAACTAACTAACTCGGCTCTATGAAAAGCAATGTGTTGCCGCGGCAGGAAATAAAATACAGTTATCTTTCGCCTGCCAGCATGTTGATATTCAGTAAAGCTTAAGATACTTTTAAATTTAATATGGAAAGCTATTGAATATAAAGCTATGCAATTTAAAACAATAAACACAGTTTTTAAGAATATTTTTTGCCCCTTTTTAATGCGATTGATTTAAATAGACATGTATTAGAACCAAAATATGTCTAACTGTCATGAGATGTCATGTCAGAAATGCTAAATATATTTATGGAATTACACTGGCTGGACTCATTAAAATCATTCTATGTTTTTTTATGATAATTATAGTTTTTAAAGCCAGTTTTTTTAAAAAATAGTATAGCGAATATAAAAATATGTATTTCAAACTCTAACACTCTATCGGAAATTCTGTAGATATTCTGTTTTTAAATATTTTGTGATTTTGCTGTCGAACTGAATTTGATGTGGTGTAAATACGAAGACTGTGATATTCAATAAATAAAGTTGACACATGAAAAATAAATAATAAGAAAGTAAAAAATATTTAGCTATCTTGCTAAAAAAACTGAATATTGATATGATGAACTTAGAACAAACAGATTGAAAAAAATATTAAAATGTATGCCAACACTGCATTGAGAATTCTAAACATATGCTGCTATGCAGCTTTTAAAAGTTTTCTGATTTCGTTGTAGAACTATATGTGGCATAAGTGCGAAGAAGACGATGCTTAACATTAAAGCTAAAAAGATTTAAAAAAAAAAAAAAGGTGTGCAAGAGCAGACTGGTAAACTACGCGCTCAGCGATAGCTTAAAGAAACTTAAAGAAACCTTCTGGGGCCAACGTTAAATCTAAAATCTTCCAGATTTTATCTAATATTTTTGTAAACTTATTTTATTATATGAAATTTGTTTCTTTTTATTTAAATAGTATATAACTGTTTAAATACGCTTCCATGAATGTTAATCTATTTGATAAATCATTAGTGATATAATGCAAATTTTCATTATAAGAAGTAAGGACCAAATTTATTGTAAATTTCTCTACATTTAGGGCATTATTATAATCCTTAGGATTAATTAAACTAACAAAACTCTTTTGAACAGAGGAAGAGCAAGAAAAGCTTGCGGAGGAGACCTTGGATGAGTTGGACTGGTGCTTAGAGCAACTAGAAACAATTCAAGCACATCGGTCTGTCGGAGATATGGCATTTAGTAAAGTAAGTGCTGTACGGAGTATGTTACCTTAATGGAAAGTCAGCAATTTATTAAGCAATGACATAATTTGCTCTACTGCGTAGAAAACCCGCAACAGCAAACTGCTGCTCCTGAAGCCGTCATATTCAATTTTGAGTGCTAATATAATATAATCAAATGTGATTACCTAGTAAATTAGACTAAATATTTAATGGAATATAACTACATAAATTTCAATCGAAGTTTTCATCAATTTACGTTAAGTTAATAGCAGTTCAGCGAAAAGCTCTTTAGTTGTAATATCAATTTATCAATTTATTACCATCATTAAGTTTGATTAAATATTTGAGTAACGTTATTTTCAACAAAATAAAATGTACATCAAGAAAATAATGACCAAGTCTAATGCTAAATGTATATTTCTTTTACCGCAGAATTGAGCCAAATTTGTTGAAAGATTCTTCTTCGGAACTTATGACAATTTTTTATATTTTAATTCTGCTGTAATCAGTTCTTTAATATTTCTTGATTTAGACTCATAAATTTAATTTTTGACCATCCTGTAAATATTAAAGTCATTTAGAGTTAGCTCAGCTTACCATCGTAACCTGTGTATGAAAGAAGGAATAACAGCGAGGAGTGTAAGCAGCTTGAAGGGTGAACAAAAATCCTATAAAATTAATAAAACTAGAATAAAATAAATTTCAACCAATGACAGAACCCTGATCGGTATTTCTGCGTGTCTCGAACTAAAATTTTAATTTTAGATATTGAATGATTGAATGTTTCTTATATATTATTCAAGGACCAATTTAAACTTTTGTAATTTATTAGACTTAAGTAAGGTCGTTAATGAGCTAATTGATTCCTTGGGATAAATTTTGATATAATCCGTTTTTTAAACCGTTGAAGAGAACGTAGTATTTTAAATCATAGTATATAACAATTCTAAGGTTTTCAACAGGAGGCTTTAAGTACAATCTATTAAAATTAGGGAAAATTCAACCTCAGTTTAATGTTTATTTCATTTCATCAAATAGTGCTCCTTTTGGCACATTAAACTGGAGAGTATCTTTTACATCTGTTAAAATGCATTTTTTTCGAAAATGAAATATGTATTTGTGTGGGTTTTTCATTCTTATTAAGATGCATGCTGATTCACTTATATACACGGAATTTGAATAATTTTGAATCTGGATGTCTTTATGAAAAACAAAAGTCAAGTTTAAGTAAAATGTAAACTCTTTATTAATTAACAATTTTACGAGTGAAATATAGAAATAATATGTATATAATTTGATTTTAGGCTTTTCAGAAATTTTACTTATAGATAAAATAAGTAAAACTCGGGCAATATTGAGTCCTTTTCTCAGCCCTCTATAGTGCGAATTTGCAAAATTTCGCTTACATCCATTATCTTTTAAAAAATAGTACTCTTATTGGAGTGTTGAAGAAAAAGCTATCATGAATTATGGATTGCAATGCAAAACTTTCTAAATATATTTGATATAATATTTTTTGGATTTAGAGTAATTAAGAAACAATTTTTTTCGTTATTTCACATGGACATAACTGTGTGAAATTTTCTTTACTGCAAAGAATAGATTTACTATTTTCATTACGCTTAAAATTAATTATGAATTTAACAATTTTAATTCAAACTAATTAAAATGCACCCAACTTAAAAAAATTCTCTCAGTATAGTAGCATTTATTCTACAAAAAAATATTATAATATTTAAGTTTGCTATTTCTTGTTCTAAGATGGAGTTTTCTAATGTTTATTTGCATGCTCAATTGTTTTATAAGATCGTTATTTATTTGAATAAAATTTTCTCTAATGATAGTTTTAGATTTTCTGCTGCTAAAAGATTCTGATTAGAATTTTATATCCGAATGAACTATTTTAAGTAATAATTATTTGAAAGGTCTTACCTTATATCAATTTATTTTTAGTTCAAGAAAATGCTAAATAAGGAATTAAGCCACTTCTCCTCCGAATCTAAATCCGGCAGCCAAATATCTGATTACATTTGTAGCACCTTCTTAGGTAAGGAACCAAACGGTGAGTGCAGTTAAATATTCAAGTAGAGTTGTAGTTATCTGATATCCTGCTTACTGTATGTTTTATCTTTCAGATAAAAAGCAAGAGTTTGATCTTGATACATTGAAAGAAGAAGATGAGGAAAATGAAGAGGTGACGGTAGCCCCACTCCTCCCAAAATCTAAAGGTCGGGCGGGTCAAGCAATGTCTAGAATCTCTGGAATAAAGAAAACAGTTTGCCATAGCAACAGCTTTAGTGTATTGCCCAAATACGGTGTGGAAACGCCAAGAGAGGACGAACTGGGAAGGGTAATATTTATATTTTGTGCTATTATTCAAGTTTCAAGGCGGAAGACATGTAATACGCGTAACATTCTCTTTAAATGCTAAGAGGAATGAAATTTGCGCTTTTGAGTGACTATGGTAGCTTTAAACTCGAACCAGTTTCTAAAAATCGCACGTATTAGTTATTTTTTAATCTATACAGCCATCTATATTGCTACGCAGAAGATATTAACTAAAATCGATCCGATATTGATGTTGCATTTAGAATACATACGCATAAATTTAACAATAACTAAATGATTCTGTAGATTCTTGTCTGCAGCTGGAATCTGTGGCTTTCATCAATGTGGTACAATTTCAAGTAAATTAGGCTTTACACGATGCGCTCATATATGATCTATGAATTAAGCAGAATATACTTATAATATAATAGAAAGAACTTATGAATTTTGTTATTTACAGTGAGACAGGCCTGTCTCCTTAGAATTATTACTATTTAAATTCCAATATAATACTATAGATCCAAATTCCACTAAGAGTTAGAAAAATATAAATATAACTTCAGAAATTTGTAAACTTTTTAGAGCCTATGTTTACTTTTTCCTGATCGCTTAGGAAATACTTGCCTTAGATTTAAAAAAAAAAAAAAAAAGATTAAATTAAGATTTAGATTTAAAAAAAGTAATTTAAATTAATTCTAAAATTCAAATTTCCTTGGCAAGCAAGGCAATCAATTAGGGGCTTTACATACTGTAATTTATCAACTGCTTACAATAGTGCTAACTTTCCTTCATTTTTATTACATAGAAATACTGAAATAACAGAAAAAAATAAGTCATTTCTTATACATAGTTTATTGTTAAACGCAGTTAAAAGTAGATGTCTTCGCATATTTCCCGTTACCTCATTGCAAAAGAATTACATGTTCTCTCTATGGCTATTAATCGTTTTTAGCAATTAGCCATTTTACTTAAGCATGAAAGTATTGTATATACCCTGTTATTATACAAAGGTAAACAGCTGGAGATGTATATCAGGGTATATCCGGAATTTGATGTGGTACTAAAATAAACGTAGGGTAATGTTACTATTTAAGGTATACTTTTCATAATGTTAACCAGAGTTAATCGTTGTCGCCCATACGGGCTAGCGGTTAGCGGCGCTGACTGCCGTACCCAAGGGCCCGGGTTTGAATCCCAGAGAATGCATGGATATTTGTAAATGCATAGTGTCTGAGCGGCATGGGGGCATTCAAAATATGCGGCAAGCCAAAAGTCCTCTTGAGAGCTTAGTGGTAGGGGAAGAGGGGTGGGAGATCCTTGGACCCGTAGCCCCGAGGGGCTCTCTAAAATTAGAGGCAGAACTGAGTACACACTGCCCCCTGTATGGTGCTCAAGGCTTTTGCCAATGACAGTCGCAATCTTGCACTCCTTGCCACAATGAATTTCGTGAGCTTGTTCTACTGTTACTGTCAGACAAGTAAGGTAAGTCACGGAAACAAAAAACTTAATCGTGTTCTTCACGTGGGAAATACTGAAGTCATAGGCGAGTTTGAAAACGACCAGAACTTAAAGAATTGAATAGATCAGAAACCACAAAATAAATGATGATGTTCTTTGGTGCTAAATGTTAACATAGACCATCCTCTATCCGTATATCACAATTTACAGCAAAGAAAAACACATTCAAAATATTGTTGCATAATTTTGAGCTGTGATTAAGCATACAGACTTAAGATCCCTACTGAAACCGCCAATCATAAGTACACAATGGCGAGAATGATAGAAAGAAAGTCTCTTGGTTCGATCAGTAAAATAGTTTCGAGACCATGGTTAAATAGTTTTCTTCTAGGTACCAGTTATATCTGAAATTCCTATATTGTTAAATGTTAAATATGAAACTACTTGCCGTTAAAAGGGAGTGATCGTATAGTGAAACGTGTACAGCATTTTTGCGTTGTGAAAAAAGCATTCCGGACCGCGCCGTGAGAGGATCGAAAACATAAAACATATACAAGATATAAAGGAAAAGTTCATATTAAATAATAAAGAAAACATACTGTAAGAGGTTCCAGATTAAATATCAGTTTATTCAATTACAAACAATAAGAAAAATCTTAACCTCATCTGAGAGTCTTTCAGTTAAATTCATAAAAAAAACTTAAGGTTTGTCTGGTGATTTAAAGAAGGAAGGGAAACAATTTATCCTGAGAGTTATTTTAGATTCGACGTTGTTTTTACTGCTAGGACGTTTTTGAAAATCTTGCCTAAGTTCCAACACACCAAAAAAAAATACTTATCTTGAGGGACATATTGAAGTGGAGGAGAGCTCATATCTTAGCTCTATCCTTACGTTCACTTGGCAAACCGCAAACAGACTCGAACGGCACGACAACTAAATTACATCAGCTATACCGTCAAATCTACGCCTGCTACTGGTTTCCATAGAAGAAAATTATTCCCACTGGAAGCAAGAGAACAGCTTACACCGCACGGCTGTCTGCCTAGACTCTCAGCTCCACCGGAAAACGTGACAATTAAGCTGGCATTTTAGAGAACGGCTAACGCAGGCTTCCAGTTGACTAAGGTGACATAATTCCTTCTGTTTTCAAGTCGGGTTCAGAGGACATCGTCCTGACTTTTTGCCGATACGATAGAGACCCAAGTCTCTGTTAATTTTTTTTTTATTCGCTCAACAGTTTTTTTTCTTCGCATTTTTGAGGAAAAAACCCGCGGCCGGGGAGCATAATTGCCGCTCCCCGCCGGAAGCACAGCTCGATGCCGACTAAATCTTTTCCTTTCTCCTCGCACACCCCCAAGTTTTTCTCAGTCTCCGTCACAGTCCGTCAACCCGAAGTCAGCGATCCAAGCAGTGAGTGCCTAAGCGAGCAAGAGTTGTCTCGCTCTTAAACCAAACGCGGCCGGGGGCATATTTGTCGCTCCCCGCCGGGAAAACTCCCGCTCGTATTACATTGTCCAGCAAGCCGAAAATCAGCGAGTCAGTCAGAGAGTTGCCTAAGCGAGTCCAGAGTAAGTGTGTATCCAACTCGAATTTCCTTCGTCTCCTTCACAAAACGGGCTCCCACTATGGCTTCACTTATCGCCCCCTTAATTATGGCAAAATCTTCGTTTTCAACTCCAGAATGCGGAAATAAGGGTGATCGCGCATGCGCGCCCTTCTTCACTTAGCCAACAACCGGACCTCAATCGCCAAAAAACCTGAATGACTTACATTGAAAGACAAGTAGCAACCTTTGACCTTTCAGTCACGTACTTTCCTCTCTTAAGGTCAACTAACAATGAAAATTCTTTCTCGAACATTCTAAAGCAAAAGCGCGAAATCATGACTTGGCGAAAAATTGCCTCCCTTTCCCTGCTTCTTTCACAATGAATAAAAGTTTGTACAAGATTTGCAAATAAAAGGAAAATAAATAATATTCATTTATACTAAATAATATATTCCGGAAGCATCTGTTTCTCCCCAAAATTAAAGCCTTAAATTAAATAATTCAGAATCAAATAAAATTTAAATTTCCATAAATCATAAAATCATTCACCTAATTTTTATAACGCTATCCGATAATTTCTCTACATAACATTCCTTTCCCCTAAGGAATTAAATTTTTGGTTTACCAAAATTTAGCAGACAGACACTTCTTGAAATACCATGACTCATACTGTGCAATAAGGCTAAAGGATAACATGATGTACAATATTTCATACGACTCCTGGTACAGTGACGTTACTGACACATTAAATGTAAAGTCCAAAATGTGCAAGTAAAACAACAAGATTAATCAAAGCAATTACTAATTAAAATACTCAAGGAAGATCATCAAAATAATTAATCAAAAACTCAATAAATCACTTAATTAAACCTAGAAATACTCAGAACACATACAAAAATAAAAATAAAAATAAGGCGCTAATCACAAACAAATGTCTAAGATCAATCAATAAGATAATTAAACGCGCGCAGATACATAAAATACATTCCTGAGAAAAAAACACTATAATAATTCAAACATTCAAAAAATATGTCACATGAACGTATTCAAATAAGGAGTAAAGACCCTAAAGTACTACGAAATTGAAATACTTCTAAGATGAAATCCCAAACATCACGTCTAAGAACAGAAGGCGGCCTGATCAGGCCAGCATTAGAAAGAAAAGAACGTTACAAAACAAGGAAACCTCGGAACCAGCCGAAAATACCCCACACAAGATCAGAAAGAAGGAAAACGTGATTGTCCAAAAATTCAATCCAACCAAATCAATTCCGAGAATGAATACGAATACGCTGTGCAAATACCAATTAGAATTTATCCAATACACACACAAAAAAATATAATAAAATACACCTAATGCATATACAAATAACGTTTGGCAATAATTACAAACAGATACTACCAATATACACATATAGACATAAAATGAAAATACAATTAAACTGTAAAATTTCGTACATAATTCAAATGAGCATGAGATCATTATACTTAAAAAAAATTTAAACTGCAATACCTAAACCCATACACACCTAATCATTACGTTAAACCATATCAAGTCAAAATATTTCACTGGTAATCAAATCAAGCCAAAAAAAAATCAACCACAAGAGTGAAGTGCCGCTAAAAATTCAAACCTCACGGTAAACACTAGTGAGTAACAACACCAACTTAGTCCCCTTAGTAAGACAACACCAAAAAAAAAAAAAAAAATCCAGTAATTCTAAAATCCCTTAATCCACGAAAAAAAATTCAACCTAGTCAAAGAAATCAATCAAGCTGGACTGAAGCACGTTACTAGAACACTAAATAAAATATCACAAATCAAAAGGTGTTCAAAACAAACCCCCCAATTTAGGCGAAAACTGAGATCTATTCTGCATCAGACTTTCCAAAACGTTGTATAGTAAACCTAAGCAATAGCTTTCAGCACACCTCCACCCAAACAAAAGAAACAAAGTAACTCTTTACCCGCGTCCATGTAAGCTGAGAAAAGCGCTGTATTATAAATGACAGACTC